CAAGAGCGTTCACTGTAGGGTGGTTCTCCGAATTGCTCATGTTCTGCCACCTGCTACTTTGCCGCCTAAGAGTAGGACCCTCATCTTGGCAACCGTCTTGAGACAAGCAGCGCAAACACATCCGGTTTCCATCCTATTTTAGCAGACTTGCCTTGCAAGTTTCTGCCAGATGTTGCACGATGGCCGCCAGATGCAGTTGTATGAGCATGAGCCATCATGGTTGCGTAAGCTTTCATCTGCGCAGCCCATGTTTACTTCCCAAGAAGGCTGCCTATGCCTGGCTCACCGCGCTGCTTCACATCTCCCTTACCGCGATACCTTCAGAGAAGAAGTACCCCGAACATCCCGGAAACCATGACGAACCAACCTGAACTTTGAGGCAAGCTTTCCTACACCTGAGGCAAGCAGTCACAGCGGCTTCTGCTTTTGTGCAGTAGCAAACACCACGTTCTTTTGTGAAGTAGCATGCTCCATGGATAGTTGCCCCCAGGTGGCTTGGAGGTCTACTATACGGCAGGTCTACATGAGGAATCCGTGTTGCATCATCCTGTCAAGCTCGGACCTGGGTTGCCAGGACGTCGTTGTCGACCAGAGCAACAAGAAGAAGGCACCAACATAGGTTTGCGAGCGAATGCCCTCAAGTGATTTGACAAGTTGGAGCAGCCAATCCACAAGCCTTCTTCTGAAGCTTAGACTAGCAAACATGGGCGCCTCCAAAATACCTTGCAGAACCTGGCTTCGATCCTTGCCCTTAAGCCCCATGACGAGGTCGCTAGGGTTCATTGGCTTTCATGTTTTTCAATGCCTGGGGCTTCGTGGAGACAAGCACCGTGACCTTTCTGATGAGGGCAACAGAACTGCCGAACTGTATTGCACCGTAGCTTCCGCTTACTGCGAGATTTGCCCTACTACAAGGCTTAGCGTGGAAGACTGAAAAGCCAGTGGCAATCTTCCCCATGCATTCAGTGATGCTTCCACCTTACCTGTCACCCTCTCAGAATCTCCACGCCTACAATGAAACCCCAGCACACCAGAAATCTTCCAAAACAGGCATAGAATTTCAAGACTCATGATTAAAGCTTATGTTCTACGAAGTTCCTTCCCTAGGCCCTGCGAAGAAGCCCTCATAGCCGTTAACCCTTGAGCACTGACAGTCGCGGGTAAACCCCATCACGGTCAAGTACCAGGGCCGAGGCGACCTGGGTTTAAGGGTCAACTGGCTGTTGTTGGAGGGCCCCCAACCCCCTGACATTAAATATTGCCCAAAAATGTAATAGTATACCACAGTGGAAATATTCAGCATTAGCGGGGGCGGGGAGGGGGGGGGGGNNGGGGGGGGGGGGGGGGGGGCGGCAGAGTAGGGATCAATGCTCCATGATTTCTCATGTAATCCCTGTGTTGATCCTCTGTAATGTGTTTTGACTTCAGTCCCAAAGCCCTCCTCATGCATCAGTACGTTAGTGCGTGGGCGTTGTTTCAGATTGATAGCTCGTAAGAACGCAGGTCTTTCATCAGATCGCTGGAGGGCATTTACTACAAGCAAGTCAGCGTGGTAACGATTTCATGGGATTGGTGCTGACGGTGTTTTAGACTACAATCACTCCCTCTTGTTTTTTTAAGGGGGAAAGCTGCATTGGGTTCTGTGGCACTGCATGGATTTCTTGGTCCCTGGGATTGGGGATGCTGAGGACGTGGGCTTGTGAGGTCTGGTTTAAGCTTTAACGCCTCCTACAGGAAGTGACAATTATAGCTCTCCTACTCAAAGCCACAGTCATTGTGTCATTGTCAGCTATGAACGTTTAAGTAAACCTGTAACTATATTTCTCCGACCTGTCACCCCACATAGAATCAAGGCGCCCTCACCCATGCATTATTTAGTACTGACTACAGCAAGGTGATATGTTGGGAGACCTATTTAGATGGAGTTTACAGCCTGTTAAATATTATGACCAGAGGACTACCATTGCACTGGTGCCTCCAAAGAGACTTTATCTCACGCACCTTTCGTTCCCAACACGAAAAAATCCCAAGTCCCAAGCTCTACGCTTCAGGGGAGAATCCGCCGCCTTCCGATAACCTCTACGTGAAGGGCCTCCCTGGCTGGGTCACGGCGCCCCGCTGTGGAAATGTCAGGGGAGCTGACACAGAGGGGATGAAGGGCAGGCTTTGCAAAGGATTCCTACTGTAGACTTTCATCCGAACCTGAGGGCATTTCTCAAAATGCAGATTCCGGGGAGGCTGTAAGGGCTTCTCTTTAGGAATTATCTAGATTTGAAACTACCATATTTCCTTGATCCAGCCCACGTCTTGTTCACCGACCTGTGCCAAGGCAAACCCAGGTTTCTACCGGGGCTTCGAATTTATCAATTAATGCGGAGCATTGTGGGGTTGCCGCAGGAACTCGCCACTTCATGTCCCACGAAGCGCGAGGTGGCCTATGGGGTGGCTAGCATGTCTTTCTTCAAGGTTCTTGTAATGAGGGCCCTAGGATCTTGTCGCAACGCCGTAGATTGTTAACCAGATTTGTTCACAGATGACCCCTTGCGAGCATCAGCGCTTCAAGCCCCGCATGCTCCAAGGAGGCAGACATGGAGGCCATCTTTTCTGAGGTGGGCGAGATCCAGCCACTCGGCCTTAACCTTAAACCTTTGATTATAGACCTAATAATAATAAAATGGGCCTTAAACTCTACACCGTCTGGATGGATGGTGCCCCAGACTGTGGGCGGATACCATGGCATTGTTTGCAAGAAGGGATCTGATATGAAGTCGTGCATGGCTTGACCAACCACAACAGTACAGGAGCCGCCATCCAACTGACTGGCCAGGTTGAGGGGGTTGAGCGACCCCATTGTGACTGTGAGGTGTGTGGGGGTGTGTTAGTGTTAGGTGACACTGATTTTGAGTGCTGCAGTGCTGCCTGGCTGTCATTTCACCATGGATGGTCCTGGACCGGTCATTTGTGAGCCAGTGTCGTCATATTGTTCAAGGAGGTCTCCTATTCTAATCGCGGCCCGAAATGGAGCTGAGTGAGCTTCAGAATCACGACCCAAATGAGAGTAGCAACCCCCAACCCTCCGCCCTCCCCACTATGAACAGGAGGTCTAAACTGTACACGGACATGCAAGACTTCCATAGCCCCGTCATCCCAGGAGCATGAAGCTCAAAACTGCTGACTGGGGCGCCATTGCTTTCGTTCGGCTCCTTGGCCTGCCCAGCATTTGCCGAGTTTGGGATCTTCGTGCTTCTGCATTATGACGTCACATTCGGCTGTATGACATAAGATGCAGGGTCTGGCTCATAAATTTGCTTTACTGGTCAGAGAAGCTTTAGTATATGTTCTTGCGAAGTTTCATGTACGGCATGGCGAGGTACTGCGCTCATGCCTCTTTCGGTTCTGTTTTTGGGCTGGGCTTGCCAGTGGCGGGACTGCTGCAGTGGCAATTATGAAGAGACAATCATTCTTCGTTTAGAAGGGCAAACCACAACGCTGCACCAGAAAGCAGCTTGCTCATTTTGCATCCAGCAGCAGGTGATGCGTCACAGCGCAATGAGAGGGGCCCTGCCGATGGGATGGGACTAAGGGTCCTTTGAGGTTTCAAGGTGGATTCCCTGCCATCAGGAAGTGCCGATGTCACTTAATAAAGATTATTTGGTAGCCGAAGACTCTAAACTCATGTTGTGCAATGGGTCGTGGATCCAGGACGGAGTGCTACCAGGGCATGTGCAGGAATACTTCAGAGGTGCATCCCAACGGTGCGGTTGCGAAGCAACATGCCAAAGGGGATAGGGGTGCGCAAAAGATGCAGGGATGTCAGGAGACACAAGCCGAAGCAGCGCTTCGGTTTGTGTCTCCTCACATCCCTGCATCTCTTGCGCACCCCTATCCCCTTTGGCATGTTGCTTCGCAACCGCGCCGTAGTCACGAATGGCATTGGCTATAGACATCCGCGAGGCAGGCTGCGTCGGATCACTGCCCGCGAGATGCTCCGAAGCCAGCAGCTGGCGCATGCCATGCATCAGCCTGCAGCTGCAGAAAACTTGACGGAGACCAGATATGTTTATGCTTACTCTGCCTTTGGTATCCACACATATCGATGAGCTGAGCCCTGCTTGCCTATTGCTGCGCACAGAGAGCTACAGGTCCCTCCGAGCTTTGATGTCCTTTTTTGTGGTTTGTATGGCAAGGGAAGTTGTGTACGGGACAAACAGACTTTGCTTCAGGTAGAAGTCGTGGATCTCGGCGTCATTCAGGCACATTACCAATATGTTACAATGGAGACCTCCTGTCGGACATTGATACGTGTCCTGGTCAGTGCCCGGTGCCCGCTCCATGAAAGAACGTTGCGAGGAGGAAAGCGCCGGCCCAAAGATAGACGATGTAGACCTGTGACAGCCCGTGCGCGGGGGCAGTGGGGAAGTGAGTATAGATAGGAACGCCCCATGAAAATGATATACCCAATATGAGGATCTGTTTCCCCACTCCAGCTAGAGCGCCAGTGTTGGTGACCTCGCCCGCAAAAGCTGGTTGATGAAAAGGCCTTAAATGTGGGAGTTGTCGGGCACTCTTGAAGTTTCAAGGGGTTGCTATATATAAAGAGTTCTTGACAGCAACTGCCCAATCCGGCTTTGGGGTGGGCATTTGTCTAGACCTAGTAAAACCCCTTTGCAAAGGGAGAGGAGATACTGGCAAGCCGGAATTTCAAAACCTGCTGTGGAGGAGCTGTGTCTCGAGGCTCAGGAGGCCTTTTCTGCCATGAAGGTTACGCACTGCAATTTAAAACCGCTTCGTGAAATCCACAAAAAAATCCACACGCAATAATCTGAAGCCGAAGCCACTCATGAGGAAGGATGTTGAGAACATATCTTTCAATTCTATTTGCTGAAGCACAGATGCAAGTTCAGGAAAACCTGCAGCCCAAGTTTCTTTTCTTAGGCATGCAGTTGGTGGCGCCTGCACCCACTTCCGGTTTCGACATATTGTTTGGATTGCGCTTTTGCATGGCACATAGCGCCTCGCTTCTGAGAACTTTCTACCTAGATCTTGCCAGGCCGCTATTGAGTCAGCAATGTGGTCTCAGACTCAAAGTCAACCAAGCCCAGAAGCCATGTAGATTTCTGGTTGCATGTAATCTTATTTGGTTAGTGTTAGTGGTGATCATACATAGACATACCGTATTGGAGGTCTGAACGACCTTTGCGGCCTGTCATGTTAGAATCAACTTGGACCATGTCCAACCAACATCCATATCCCCCAAATTCTATGCTCTAAACTGTGCACCTCAAGCTCCTTCAAACCCCCCAGCCTCTTAAATCACCCCAGAACCCACGCCTTCTATCACACAAAAGCTTACAGCTTACTAAATCTCATGGGCATCCGCACTGCACCTGAACTGAATTCCAATCTCCCAACAAAGCCTGAGCAACGATACGGTCCTAGAAACAGCATGGAGGATTCAACGCCCTGCATGTCCGGTCCTCTAGAATCTCTGTAGTCGCAATCTGGATCCTGAATCCCCATGACCCTGAGGCTGGCCAGGAAAGCTGAGGCAGAGCAGCCCCATGAAACCCTCAGCGCACTGAACTATAATCCCTCAACCCCTAATCCGTATAGATCCACAGGTTGAAAGTGTGGGCCTGCAATATGGGCCCTCTGTTTTTTTTAGGAGATTCTCAGGGCCCCTCACGGATATACAGGTATATGTGTGTATACATGGCGTACTCCACCAGGGATCCCCAAAATACAGGGCCCATACCACTATGCTAAAAGGCCTTAAAACCCTAAGCCCCCACACCATTGATCCTACACCCCACCAAGGCTGGCCAGCAAATCAGAGGCTGAGCGAGGCATCGCCTACTTCCACAACAGCGTGCCCCGGGTGCTGGAGAGGACCCTGGGCTCCTTAAAGGGGCTGTCAAGGGATAGAGGGGGCCTCTATAAAGGGGTTATAGGGATAAATCAGAGTGTAGGTTTCAAGGATTTAGGGGGTTGGGTGTCTCAAGGTCAGAATGGGATCTCCTTAAAGACCCTGAGGGATATATGGATTTATGGCGGGGCCTGATTGAGGGTTATCTGTTTTAAGACAGTGCCAGCAATGGACCCCTTGTATTTAGATCTTTTTGGTGTCCTAAATACAGGGTCGTCCTGAACCGGGGGTTTGGGGGGTTGTGTAGGACCAGAAACAACATTGCATTTTCAGCTCAAAACCTCACCAATCTAAAACCCTGAAACCCTAAATCCTGAAATTTAAATTAATCCTGAAATTTAAATTAAACGTCGACCCTGAAACCCCGAAGTTCTAACCCCAAATCCTAAGAACCCTCAATTCCTACCCCTCCTAGACCCGAAAACCTAATCCTGAAGCCCTAAACCCCAAACCCTGAAACCCCTAAATTAAAACCTACGTCGACCCTGAAACCCCGAAGTTCTAACCCCAATCCCTAAGAACCCTCAATTCCTACCGC